CTCGCAGAACTAACCGTAACCTAAGGTCCAAAATCCAACTTACGAGAAAAAGAAGTTAAAAAAAAAAAATGTTTAAACCCAACGACCCAAGTCATCTTCTTCATCGTCGTCACCTTCCCCCACCATCTTCAACACTAAGGGTCATCGTTTCCATGATCTCTTCATGATCACAAAATCTTTAATGCGGAAGTTTTTTGGACCTTGTGCAAGCTATTCGTCTTGCTCTCCAAGTTATCTCCAATAACAAACTATATTTTCGTGTAAGAAAATACATTAACTTTTCAAGGTTCCAAAAAATATATTAACTACTTAATATTGCTCGTAAACAATATGCAAAGTGAGAATTACGAAGGTTTCACATTCTTGAATTAACAAACGTTAACCCGAAAAAACGATGTCAAGTTCAAAGCACGACACTAATAAAATATTGAGAGAATTCCATTTAAAATACACCAACTAAATAATAGGCATCGAAAAAATATACATACTTTTCTATTTTCTGAATAATAAATGAACGATTAATTTTTTCCTCATTAATACTAATATATACGAACATACCGTGAAAGTTTAACGCATGTATTATAACGATTAACGAACTTTAATACGATATATTGAGGCGAAAAACGATGTTGAGTTATAATTAAGGGGCAATTACAAAAATGTCATTTTTTGTGTGCACATTTGCAATAATGCCAGTTAGGGGTGTCCATTTATAAAAATGCCACTAATTATAGATTTATAAAGCCTATATCTTAAAATTCTAAACCTTAAAAAATGTTTTGACACCTAAAACCCCCTAAACACTCAAAACTAAATCCTAATAGAACATAATTAACCCAAACATAAATAATATGAAGAAAATATAATTTTGAAAAAGTGGTATTTTTGTAAAGATTTTAAAAGTGTGACATTTTTGTAAAGTGGCACTTGAAAAGTGGTATTTTTTGAAATTTCTCTATAATTAATTAAACACGTGACCAATAATTTTTTTAAGTAAAGTGCCATCAACTTCAACTCCAAATAACTAAGAGAGATCATGGTATGTTCAAATCAGCGACATGTGATCATCGGCGTCTATATATTTTGTGTCCTCAGACGCTAATACAACAGTTAATACAAGTATTAAAGAGAGAAATTTCAATCTAATATAAGCTAGGCACACAAATGGTTACACTCTCCAATCCCCATTGAATTATTATAGTCTTCCTCTTTAGTGCTCACAAGTGGTTTAAACTCTTCCTCTCTACGAAACATGTGATAGGAGGAGTTTGACAAAAATAACAAAGACATTTTTTGCATTTCAATTTATCTTATTAACAATCCTTAAAATATGGCCGTCAAACTTTCATGAATTGTTAGTATGAGTACTAATAAGAAAAAAAATTAATAGTTCATGTCTTACTCAAAGAGCAGAAAACTGTATTTATTTTTCTGGCAATTATTATTTAGTTGTTGTATTTTTCAAAAAATTAAAATTAAAATTTTATTAGTCATGTGTTTTATTTAGTTGTTAGTATCTTTTCTCCTTTCCATTTATCGGATTAACGTCCGTTAACTCAATTGTGTGAAACCTTTAAAAAATTTCACTTTGTACTAAACGGGCAATATTAGTTAATTCATATATTTTCTAGGACCCTAAAATGTTAATGTATATAATTTGTGTATTTTTCACGACTTTTACCCTATATTTACAAAACTTCATTGTATTTCGGTTAGC